ACACACACACACACGGCAGATAGTGAATGAAGAAACCTGAGAGAAGCGGATAATAAAACCAACAACTTCCACCCATCCATCCATGCTCCCATATCTTTGGATGTGTACTCTCCACAGAGAAACACAAAAGCAAACAGACACACACACACACACACACACACACACACACACACACACACACAGCCTTAATAAACGGTGTTAGTGTGAACACCTGCCCTCCCTTCCCCCGCTGCTCATGCTAATATACACCAAACACACACAGCTACATGCTCACTGGGGCACAGTTGCACTATTTATTGCATTTGAAATTAACGATGAGGCATTGTGGAAAATATTAACTTGAGTGAGTGTGAGAGTCTTTTGTAAGGCAGGATCAAGCTGGGGCAGTGTTTCCCAAGCTTTGTTCCTTGGAGCCCCCCCCCCCCCCCCCAGTTGTATCTTAGACAAGCTTGGACCCCCAAGGACCCCATCAAAAAACATCAACATAAACAATCATAAACAATAAATGTTTCCATTGATAAAATCCCAACAGAATAAGTCTACACACACTTTTTCTTACCATTTGTATAAACTATCCAGTAGTGTCCTCTCATTTAGTTTTGACAACCTCAGAGCAGACAAAGCCTGGCACCCACTCTGGAGATCTTTGGGGGGGGCAATGAGCTAGGGGACAGAAATCAACTACCTTTTCTCTTTTTGATCCTATAAATGTTTTACAACTAGCTTAATTTGGCCAATTTGGTTTTTCAAACAGAATAAAATGAACAGATAGAAACAGCTTTCAAGTTTTTACTCTTACTTCAAGTCTGTTAGCGGCTTGTTAGCTTAGCTACGTTTAGGAAACAGCTAGTATGTTTCTTACACAACAGAAGCCCTAAGCGAACATTCATTCAACCATTGTATTTAACTGTTTTTCCAGGATAGTGAGGACATTTTGGTTCTTCTCTTAATCTCCATGTATTTATCTAGTTATGGCGATAACAACGTTGGTTTTTCCAAGATAACAAGTTAATTTCTCGAAACTTGAGAAAACAGTTAAAATTGACCCGTTAGCCTATCACAGAAAAACATATTAAACATATTTAGTTGTAATACTGAGATAACAAGGCAAATAAACTGAGATCTCTGGACAATAACTGAAATGTGCTTGTTTTTCATAGAAAAATGTAGTTTAATAAAATGTATTGATGCATGTCCACTCGGGCTTCTTTATTAAACATATAAAGGTTTACTTGTTAATAAGTGATGAAAAGTGAAAAGGTTAAAGTGGTGGAACGCTGGTGGACTAGCAACTGGCAGTGGCTTTACATATATGTGCAAGACAGACATGAATTAATTGAATTGGAATTGGAAACAACATTACCAAAATGTTGAATCAACTAAATAATTTTTTTAAGATCATCAGTTGATTTTTTGGTCACTTAAAATGCCAGAAAAATTGCCAAAAAAGGCCCATCACAAGTTTAGGGACGTTATTGTGTTGTCTTATAACATCTATCAGTCCATAGCCAAAACATTATCAGATCAAGGCATCAAAAACCAAGGATATGTAAAAAAAAAACATTTAGCTCTTTAAAATCAGCATTTTTACTCAGAAAGTTTTTGCTAATTATCTAAGAGGTTACATTAAAACAATTTTTCCATATTTTAATTGGGCATCCACAGGAAACCTCCCTCTGCTGTGTTGCTCTGGCTTTATTTAATGTTTTGATATGGTTGAATATCCATTCTTGGATGCAAAATCCCCCTGAAGAAGGCCTTTATTGCTGCGACGCATTGATTGTTTCAACATGATTTGTCTACTTTTTTTGTTATTTCACAAACAAATAGCCAAGTGAATAAAGGTTTTTCCCCTTCTCAGGAAGTGTGCCTTGTTTTTTCCCCTTTTTGAAATACGTCTGAGTATCTGAGTCACACTGAACACTGTAAAAAAAAAAAATGACACATGAATCATCTACCTGTTACATCCTTCTCCCTCATAGTTTCATTTTCAGAGCCTAGTATAATGAGCTTATTTGCAGTAAATGTGAAAGCTGAGATAAGTTATTAACGCAGGAAATAGTCAGTTGTTCATCCTTGCCACTGACGCCGCTGCTGCTGGAAGAACAAAAGATGTTTCACCCAGGATACCCGGGAAGAACATCATGTACCAAACTCAGATGGATAGAAATACGATATAAAAAAATAAGGAAACAGTTATTTTGATGAGTTCTGGAAGTACATGCTGATTCACTTCTTTTTGACAATGGTAAATCATGACGGGTCTGTTGCTCTTTAACAGCCAAAAGCGACACCATTCAGCCCACAGGAAGTTATTTATTTATAGCTGGTGGAATATAGTTATAGTTAGTTTTTGGGAGTTTGGTGTGTAAAATGGCTTCTCTAATGTGGCTTAAGTGGATGTTATTGTCTGTGCGTGGCTCACAATACCCGACTTGGCCAGACAAACAGGCCAGAGATAAAGAGATAAGAACAAGAGTACAAGATGTCCGAGAAGGGTTGAACCAGAGTACGAGCTCAGGAGTGATTCTTTTTTTCTCTTCCCAATCCTCCATTTCCACACTTCTTCTCACAGTGGATCTGGATTATTGCGACACCATTCTCTCACTTTCTGTCCTCGCTCTAAGCTGAACGTGCTTTTTGACACTCTTCCTCCCCCTCTCACTTTAGAGACGGACTCTCTCACCTGAAATTAAACACAAGGCCAGGTGCCACTCTCAAACAACCATCTGTTCATCCCTGCCTGACTTCTTTCTCCATTTTGTTCTTTTCTTTTCTTTTTCCATTGTCAGCACAGAGAATGAGATCTGTATAATAGCGAGGAGAAGCCTTAAGAACAACTCTTACTTTCCAGATAGGTGAAATGCTAAAAAAAAAAAAAAAAAAAAGACGAAGCAGCGACTTCGTTAATGACATCATTCAGCTTTCTCTTCTTTCAGGTGTGCTTTCATTCTCTCCCCTCAGTCCTATAATTGCTTTCATGTTATTTCTTTTGTATCGCCTCAGCCATGAGATGCCAAAGTTAATTATGCTTTGGCAGTGCAGGTGCAATTAGATGACAATTACACCACAGCTGGTAGCAGGGGTGGAGAGCAGTTCTTGTCCGTGTGGGCGTGAACCGAGATAATAAGATGGTTTTCGTCTTTTGGAGAGGGAGGGGGGGAAGGGCCGGGAAGGATTCAGGAAGCACCGAGGTGGTGGTGGTGGTGGTGGGGGGGGGTTGGGTTAGCTTGGTCCACACGGCTTAGAGGTAAGAGCTTGTGAGAACAGGAGCCACGGGGGTAGAAACACAAGGGGAGAAGGGGGCTTTAGCCATGGGGGCATTGGGCCCTGCTGATCCGCTCCGAGAGGTCAAGAAGGTCGCGCTACTGTCATGCTAACAATTGGATTTCTTTTGTTGCCACCCTAATACCAGTCTGCTCCATCAAAACTGACCCCACGTCCAGCAGAAACCCCCCACTGCCTTTACAATCGTTCTAGTGCTGAATAATCAATAACCTGGTCTTCAACTATTCTGTTAACGAGGTTCAAACTAAAATCACTCGCTGTAGCCAACTCCTCGCTTGTGCCGTCAACTGAGAGTTTCAACTAAGGATCTTTTCTTTAACCAGTGAATTTTGTTGTCTATAAAATTCTGAGAAAAGTAGATGAATCCAAGTTGACATTAAATGTAATCATATGTACAACAAACTACCTAAAACCTCACAGAATACAGACAAACGATCATCATTTTTGAGGAGCTGGAGTGAGAGAACGTTTTTTGTGTTTTTGCTTGAAAATTAAATTAATGAAATGCAACACAAAGGAATAGTGCTTGTGTCTGCTCAGGGGTTTCAACAAAGGACTATTTTCTTCAGTTAATGAACCGAGTTGTCTAAAAAATGTCGTAAAAATGTGCAAAATGCTTATGAGTCCGAGTTTAGTCCATTACATTTCTTGTGACAAAGACTAAGAAAAGCATGAAAATCTCAGGTCTTGAGATGTCTAAACTGAAGAATCAACTCATTGTAAAGTGTAAAAACATTATTCTTATCCCAGTTAGACTGATTGAAGGGCAAAATATTACCCCCAAAAAAAAAAAACACACCCAGTGTGAAGTTGGTTTTCTTAGTCTTGTATGATATTAATTTACTTACCTTTGGTACCTTTGTTAGTTGGTGCTAGTATACTACAATGGGCCTATTTTGGCTATTTTTACATTAATTAAGACAAAAAGATTTATTGATAGAAAGATATTAAACAATATAGAAATAAAATCCTAAGGCACAGACATTCACAACCTTCTTCACTCCTCCCTCAAAAACTCTGGTCACGAGCTGCCATTCACCAATGATGAATGATAAGTAGATTTCACCAAAAATAACCAAAAGGAAACAGGGGTAAAGCCTTGTTAGTAAAAGAGGAAGCAGCAGCGAGGCTGGGAGCACACTCTGTCTCAGTAATTCCTCGCCTTGTCGCCTTGTCTCTCATATAGCGGGTTATTATAGAGACGTGGCTGTCATGTCATATATAGCCCTGGAAATGTCATTTGGCAGCACACCTGCTGCCTGGCTATGCTAATAAAGCTAGGTTTAACTTTGATTAGAATTCAGAGGGAGAGATAGATGGAGAGAGGGAAGGGGGGGGAGAGAGAAAGAGAGACAGAAGGAGAGACGGAGAGAGGGAAAGAAACATCAGAGAGAATAAGAACTAGCAAAGTCACTCCAGCAGCGAGCCTCATAGCTGTCTGTTTGGACCCGTGACATGTTGCAGGATGACTCATGCCTTCACTGGATGGATATGTCTGGATGCATCACATATGAAACATAAGAGGGAGAGCAGCCTCTGACCTTTATTCCAGCGTATCGGCTGAAGGGGGGAGTCAGGCCCGCTTGTCAAACTCGGTTTAATTTTCTTGTGTCACTGCGTGTTCCTGTGCGCTCAGATAGCCTAGCATGCCAGTTATTCTGCTCCTGTTGTGTATATATAGAATATGAGCAAAAACCCAGCAACACACTCACCCCTGGTAGCGTCTTCTGCTCGTGCAGTGCATTCTGGGCTTTGAGGGCAGATTCACGTGCACAATATGTCAGGAAGGCACATCCTGGAGGCAAACAGTAGAAATTAGCTCTGAACAATATGAGAATGTGAAATCATATTTATGTGCGATAAATGAACAAAAATTTAAAGCGCACATATATACTATAACTCAGATTTCTTTGGCTATCTACTGTTCTTCATGTTATACACCATCCCTGTGTTTGCAACATATCCCTCCTCAGTCAAGAATAAATCCAATAAGCTTTTTTTTTAACCACTAAATTGGCAACATTTAATCTGAGGTTCGCTGGCAGCACGCTTATTAAGCTTCACCTGACTGCATCAAAATGATATCAAATGACAATTAAACCCAGGCCTCCATCCAATAGGTAAAGAGAACACATAATGAGTAATAAAAAAAGCACTGCCTGTTTACATGTTTTTCTTATTGATTGCAATAAATCCAGACGTTTGGCATCTTTTGCAAAAGCTCATAACGATGAAATTGAGACTTATAGCTCAGCCCTCGTAGAAATTCAACAAACTATAAGTCTGTTTTAAATGTTAGATTTATATTCTTTAATACTGTCAGATTGGCAGTACTAGGTTGTGTTTTAATAATCTTAATTGGCCATGTGCCCTGAGTGCCTGCAGGCAGAAAAATGCTTCTGGAGGTTATTGTCCCAGTACAAATTTGCTGTTTGATGTATGTGTTTTATTTAACAGTTTTTAGGTCAGCGTATGTTCAAAGTTTCCAAATCACACATCACATGTCAGGTGTTTTAATCTGCTTGAAACAGAACACACAATCAAAACCAGTGAAGACCCATGATATTGGTAAGATCTCCTTCCCTGAAGCAGCAGTGGGGCTCTGTGGGATTAATAACTCATAATACCTGGAGACTGCTCAGACACAAGCAGTCTGAGTGACTATTTAATATCACGCTGGTCAAACTAAATGTATGCAATCCCACATAATAGAGAAAGGCCTTCATTAACCTTTTGGGCTCCTGCGAGTCATGAATATGTAAATGTATGCAGAATAAGTGTTATAGGTGTTAGCAGACTGATAGCACCTGGCCTATACGTCTCCCAAATGACGGCTGGTTTATAAAAGCCTTTTGTTTTCTGCACTCAGATTTGCATTAGAAATGACAGAGAGGATCATCATTGAGCTCAGATCTCTTTAAAAGCAGCTTCAGCCCATCTGTCAAACAGGAATCTGAATGTGCAGAGACTTCACTTCCAAAAATGGAAAGCATGTTTTCGCTGTTTGACGAACAGTGGTAGTGGTGGGTGACACTGACACCACGCGTTGACGATATCACCACAGGAGATCAATTATGAGCTGACAAAATACTTATGGTGAGATTGATCTTACAACAACTGCTTTTTGGTCATGGCAATTTGCTGGAAAGCTGAATGTGCTCTGCAACATTTGACTCTAAAATAAGATTTATACACTTTTTAGTTAAACCGTTACAAAATTGCAAATCAATAATTACAGATCTGCACAAGCTGGATTTTTGACCGGTAGACAGAATCCCTTCTCTTTCTGGAAAGTACAGAACACCAAATAGTGAAGGGCTTAAAACAAATATTTTATATAACTTATATATGCTTTAATTCTGAATTTAAGTACACATATGTTATAAATGTATATGCTACAACGAGCTCCCTATTTATTTATTTGAATTAAAGCTCCTGTGAGGGAAAAAGAAATCATGAAAGTTGTCGCTGATGGTCAGTTTGATTTTGTGGGTCAAATAGAGGCTTCAATTTTGAATTTATACTTTGTGTCATAACTAGTTAAAACTCATCACAGGAGTTTAAAATAGTGAATGATTTTGTGGAACTAGTAGTCTCATTCAATATACGTCACTAATATGGCCACCACCTTGGTACATTTCATCTGATTCTCACAGCAACAGTCAAAAAGGCATTAAAAGAGGTTCCATAAGATCCTTTTACTCAACAGGTTTAAATTATCTTTCACATTGACATTCTGCATTCATGGCACAATGGGACAATTAAAACTGTTAAGGTCATTGACAATCATACAAATTATATCGGTATTATGGTCCCAAAAAGGGGGCGGGACTTTGCCTCTCCAATGTAGTTTTCAGAAGCGGGTATAATGGGAAACCTCCCAGAATGCACTGGGGGTCTCATAGACATTACACCCAGCTTTATTTTTCTGTTAGACAACATACTGCAACAATACTTCCTACTGTTTTTAGATTTCAATCAGCATTAAGCTCCTGGGTGTGAGTGTGTATCGATTATGGTTCAAGACTGCTTCAGCCATTAATCTAAGAATCTCCTCTTCTTGTCCTCGGTCAGGACACTGAACTTTATAATGATTTTAATGAGACATTTGGTGTTAGCTGATGTGAAAAGAAAATGCATTACCTTTTAGAATTTTAATAAAGAACAGTTTGACAAATTCTAATCAAGTAATTTGCTTTGAATTAAAACAAACGTTTCGGTGAGGTAGATGGGATAAAGTTGATTCAACCTGAAAACATTAAGTATGCTTATATTTCATTTGATATGAGTCAAGGTTTAATCATTTTAGTCTTTCAATGAAAGACGAGGACATAAACTTTACTACCAGTTGTGAATCAGACTTCAGTCTAAGATTAAGGCAACTGAACTTCAGGCTTTAAGGCTTTAAAGAGGCTCCAGTGGGACAACAGCAAATTGAGGAATAGTTTAACTTCACACATGTTCAGGGAGAATCAAATCATGTCTGAAGGACATTATGAAAAATTAGAGTATTTTTGACCTCCCTGAGACAAAAAGCACATCACATAGTCCTCGGCCCTCACCTTTATGCATCCCTGTGTATTTGTCCTTTATCACCGTCAGCTCGTAGATCTTTCCAAACTGCTCGAAGATGGGCTTCAGGTCCTTCTCCTCCAGGTTTCGGGGTATTTGCCCGATGAAGAGCTTGATTGCGTCAGGCTCCTTCATTGAGAAGTCTGGAGAGGAATAAAAACACACACACACACACACACTGAGTGGAGGAGGCGGTCAGGAGGAGCAGACAGGAGCCCTGCCTGCCTGCAGGGCTTAAATTCACACTGCACAGGAGGTGCAAACAGGAGGCCTGGGATGGAGGTGCAGATGGGAGGCTGAAATAATTATAGTTCTCACACCCTCTGAGACATGCAAGTCCTGTTCTGGTTGTAGATTTTAAATTTTTTTTTTTTTTTTTTAAATCACAGAAATCATAATAAAATACATAAGTAACCATTTGATTATAAGATAGACATTCATATAAATGCCTTTGATTCTTGTTAACGTTGTAAGCATATTGTTAACTATCAGATTCATTCATATGGATTTCTATATGGTATAATATGATAGTAGTACATAATTGTGATGTTATTTAATTTAAAAGGGGGCTTATTGCATTATGACATATTAATTGGCATCACATCGACAATCACAGTCATTATTAAGTGTTTGATTTACATAAAGAGGAAAACTCTTTTTAATCAGCGACATTATTATCTAAATACTTTTATTTTTCTCGTTAGTGCATGAACCAATAAATAAGGATAGGATCAATAATCATTATTGGTAGCTATAAACCAAACACATATATGCCTTACCTAAATACAAATGGTTTTAAAAAACATGCGTTTGATATTGTAGTAAATAGTACACATGTACACTCCTCCCTTGCTCTGAATTCGAGGCCGCCTCATCCAGAAACATGACAGTGTATCTTCTCTGTCTGTCAACACAGCTGGAGACCTGAGCTCTCTTTGTCAAGACGTGTGTGACAACAATGACCCGATGATCGTGATTTTACACACAGAAAAAAAATAACGAAAACAGTTCAGAGGAAAAAGAATAATTTAAAAAACAAACCTGTGGTGCTGCTCGTGGAAAAGAATCGGCGTGATCAAAGGCTTTTCTTCTTCCCGCCGCTGTTGTTTTGTTATTGAAGCTCAATGATTCAGTTCATCTGTGAGAAATCCTGTAACAAGTTAGGCCTTTAAGACAGAAGTAACATCCAGCGACGGTCCTTTATTCAGCATGAGCGTGTTTTCTACCTCTGTCTGTTGTTTCCTGCTCTTGCTCTGGGTTTTTTTTTCCACACCTCGTATAAAAATAAACAAAATCTCTCCCCTTGGCTTTGCTGAATGAAGAGTGTTGTGATGGATGGATTTAGGCTTCCTTCAGTAGACCGTAGGGAATTGGCAGTCTGGTTGCTTGTCCTCTCCTCTTCCCTCTCTCCCTCTGACTGTGTGTGAGCGTGTGTGTGTGTGTGTGTGTGTGTGTGTGTGTGTGTGTCTGTACTCCTTTGACGTCGTAAGCCGGTGTCTCCCTCCCTGTCCATCTCAGCTCCACCCCTCCTCCTCCCCATGGACTGTACGAGCCGTGATGTCTGCTGCCAGGGACCGTCGCTAATTTACCAGCTCCGTGACAGGCGTGCAAGAGGAGGAGGGGGAGAGAGAACACAGAACAAAATAAAAGCTGCAGAGTAGTAATGAATGTGCAGATTGGAGTTTTTATCCTAAATTTCATCAAAGCTAATCTCATAAAAGGGATTGTTGGCCTATTTGCTACTTTATAGTAATCTACATAAGGCAATTTTTACAATGTAAAAAAAAAATTGCAAGGGACTTGCAACTATTTTTTCTTAATGTAACATGATTAAGTTATTAGCCAATATCTACAGACTCTACTACACCTTCAAATTATCTTTGCTTATGCTGAAAACTAGCTAAAATACTGGGTGACAAACAGTGAAGATGAGCCCAGAAACAAAAATGCAGGTGTTGTTTGGAGCCGGTATTTAATTCAAGGTGTTTGGGGCTGACTAGGCTATAAAGCTAATATTATTAAAGCCAGGTTATATGGGAAAATACATTTTACAGAGCAATGCTGAGGCTGCCCCCAGTGCCTCTTCATACCCCTAAGCCACCAAAAATCATCAAATCATCTTGACAACTGCATTTTTTCTACTAACAGTTTACCTCGTGTTATCAGGGCTAATATGGACATGAGAATAGCTGCTTAAAATTATTTTAGCTCAGTATTTTCCTTGTTGATAATATGAAGATTATACATTATTGTTCATAGCTACAATCCTGTAAATATTTAAGATGTCAAACAGATGTAGTCATTTAAAACACAGTTGACATAAACAAAAAATCTCACAAACTGTTGATGAGAAGTGTATACTTTATTTAGCCCGAAAACCCGAAAACGAAAGTTAAACAGGAATTAATCCAACAAAATAACATCAACAAAGAAATACAGCCCATCATCGAAATAGAAGGTCTGTTAATTAGACCTATAACAACATTTATCAACTTTATGTTTTTCTTTATTCATTATGACAGCTAAATGAATACCTGTGTTTTATTTAAAGACGTTTAATGACTTATCACAGTTAAGAGAAACACTTGTCGCCATTTAGCATTCATTTTCTGAATCGACTAACAGAGATTAAATAAACAATGAAAATGGCTATAAACTGTAGGCATGCTGATTAGTTCAGTGAACAGAGAAAGGACCCATTGCTAAGGTGTTACATTACCATCACATTGTAACGCACACATAAACTAGATATCAAGCAGAAAGGCCCTTTAGACAAAGACTTTCATTTAAACATAAAGCAATCAATGTTAGTGTGGCCTATTTCCTGCAAAAGCGAAGTGTAGAGGTAAAATAGGATCATAAAGAGAGCTGGGGGTGTTGTATTTCAGGGTTCTGTCTTATTTTCGTTTTTCCTGTGCATGGTAAAAAGCAGACCGTCTCTGACATCAAGGGACGCAAATCCGCCTTTTGTTCTCGACGTGGAGCTGGCCATGGTGCTGAAATCGGTCTCTATAACTCGTGACATTATCATCATGGTTACAATATTCCCTTCTTGAATGAATGCGGGAAAACACGTTTTAATAAGTGTTTTAGAAAATGCAGGGAGCGTAATTCTCGCAGGGAAACATAAAGGCGCGCGCGCGCACACACACACACACCACACACACACACACACACTCTCTCTCTCTCTCTCTCTCTCTCTCTGAAATCTGGACAGCATGTAAACAATGAGCCCTCCTGACAGCAGGCAGCACACACCCGACGACACTTGAAAGGAGTCACGATGTGGACCAAAGCAACGGCTGCAACATTAGAGTTCATGTTTTAAACTCAGCGCAGCTCTGTCTCTGCCTGCTCCGTTAAATCCTTTATTCCCAGCAGCAGAATCTCTCCTCGGCTTGTCTCTGATGTTAAGACTGCCATCTGCCATCAGTCACTAAATCCTATTTCCGCCCTTCAACCCCGATATATAAGCCCAGAGTGCAGGCGAGGCCAACGCTGACTTCATCTGGCTCTGATCAGGTAGAAATGATCGAGACAAAAAGAAAAACTTATCTGCGCAACAAAAAACAAAAAGACAAAAACGTGATTCGTGCGACTATTAAATGGGATTGTGTGTTTTTATTTTATTTTTTATTTTTATTTCAGAGTGTAGCTGAACAACAACGACATCTGGTGACCATATACAAAAGCTTTCCAAAGGTTTTGTTTTTTAAATATATGACTTTTAATTTAACTCAATGTAATGAATCTGTGGACTCTACACCACATTTTAAGATAAATATAGTTAACATATCATAAACGATAAGTAGAATAATGTATTAGTAGATTATAAATTAAAGTTCAGCCTCAATTTCAGAACAAAATTCTTCATGTTTCAAAAGTGAAACTACAGTGAAATGGCCCTCTTTTTATTACGCTCTGACTATTTATGTTTCCTTCTGATGAACCAGTTTGTCTCAATGAGTTACTACTGGATATACCCTGTTAGTAAGAACAATCTCTAACAGTATATCTGCCTAAATCAGGTCAAAGTATCTTTATATTCTACTGGAAAGAAAATCTGTTTGGTGCAGCAAGAGTGTTTAAACTGTTTTTTTTTTTAAGGAAGAGAATACAATGAGGATTTAAAGATGGTAAACTTAATTTTCTGAAAACAAAAAATTCAAAGAAATTGAATTACAACAAGAAAGAGGTTGCAATATTTTACAGTACAACATGAATTTTACAGGTTTAATAAGTATACACAAGTGATATATGGACTAAATTCACCTGATCATGGTGTGATTTTTAAAAGAAGCATCTTTATTCAAAGGTTTATTTTGTTTAGTAGAAAAGTTATAATTGTGTTACCCAACTATGGCAACCTTTCTCTAAGATGAGAGAATAATATCCCCTTTTTTTAACAAGACTAAAATAATGTTTAAAGTCAAACTGTCCCAGAGTTTAAGCTCTAGGAAACAAGTTGGAGAAATGATGATGCAGATCTACTGTTAAATAAATAAACACACAACAGTTAGTTTATTTCTATATGAACAATACAATTTTATTTCATTAAAAACATGCAGTAAATATTCTTTGTGAATTAAACATCAGAGGATTTTGAAAGGACAGTGTAATATTTACAGTGTTTATGTACTTACTCACATGGTCGCTCTGTCCTACCTTCTTATAAAGCTCCTTCCAAACAAAAATCTGAAAACAAACAGAGAGAAACTATTTCATCACTTTAATCTTCTCCCAGCTTTGTATTGATTGTTTTGATTTCCTGTTGGTGCCAGACAGCTTCTGATGTTTTTTTTTTAACAGAAGACTTACTCATCAGCTGCTGATTCACAGCACTGAAGTCAGACCATGAAGAGGAGTTTCTGTCACTGCTAGCTGAGTAGGATTCAAAGAGGTCTCCCCATCACATCAGCAGACACATCAAAGTGTGGCTCTGGATCCCTGAGGAGGAGAACAGGAGGAGGGAGGAGAGGATGAAAACAGGAATTAGGTTAGAAGATTAATATTTATTCTATTAAAAAGGGAAATGTATAATCATGTTAAATCTGCCAAATTTAACCAAACAAGCTGTTTTTAGTAGGCCATGGTAAGTATGAAACACTCAGGGCAGAAAACAAATACACTCAATCTGGGTAAAGTAGTAAAGAATTTTATAAAAAAATAATAATAATTAAAAAAAAAAATCAGCGAAATAAAACAACCTAATCCCTTACAGAAGGTCCACAATCTGTCTTTTTGTGCTCTGGTCGGCTCTCCTCTCGAAAAACAGACTGATAAAGTACTTGTGGGAAGATTTACTGACACCTGGCGACGGTGTGCTCACCTGTGCTCACTGCTCTGTTTGTTTGTAAAGGGGACGTTTGTAATTTGGCAACAATCCGCGCGTAATTGAAAAACGCCCTACTTTATACGTTTATACACATAATTAAATTAAATGTTGGCTTCACTTTTTCTATCTATTTCTAATGTTGCCTGGATAAAATCGAAACTTAATTCTCCTCCAAAGAAGGCTGCTTGATTCATGATTAAAGGACGTCTTAATTAGAAGCTGATCTATAGGGTTGTGATTAGGTCCTGCGTCTCGTTTGAGGTTTTGTTTCTTTGCAGCGGTGATTAAAAAAAAAAGTACTCCGAGCCCTTAAATAAAAATACAAAGAAAAGTCTATCTATAAAATCCTCACTAAAGTAAAAGTACGAGTTCTACAATCAAAACTGTCTTTAAGTTATCATTGTTAATAAAAACGGGTTAACTGTCATATATGAGGTTTTAGATGAATATTACAGATTGTTATTATTATGTGTTTGTTGCACATTAGTTGTGTAGATATTTTTTAACTTGAGCTAATTTTGACCGTTTTCTACATTGTTGGATAGTTTTTACCAAAAAGTAATGCACTAACTTCTACAAGATCACGAGCTATAAAGAAAACTACTCTCGGCTTTTTAACAAAGAATTTGATATGTAATAAAAAATATTTATTAATATTTAATTCACAAGCTTTTTTAAAATAAATTAAAACCACGATATGGGGTTATGTGGTTTTAAATGGACAGCAGGGATGATAAAATATTAATCTGAAAATTATAATAAAAGTAGAGGCCACTGAGATGTAGTACAAATTAAAGGAGTATAAAAATGTTATACTCAAGTAAAGTACAAGTACCTTGACTTTGCACTTAGATACAGTACAGTGCTTATCTGCATGCCACCAACTAACTTTATTCTTATCAACTACATTGTAGAAGTATTAGAATAATCTTTTATTGGCTAATCTGCTCCCTGTCATTCTTGGACTCCATAAAAAAATATTCGATTTTAACATTGCCTTTTTTCTGAAGTGTGGAACTCAACATCAACTTGATTGTTGACAAAAGTTTTCAAAGACTCTATCAAGTATGTGTTTAAACGCTCTGTAATCCTCTGATCACTCTCACTGGTTCTAAAGAAATGTTTTTTAAATGTTCTTCCTACATTGAATTCTGCTGTGGAGTCAGCCACTCTGCTCTTCCATTAAAGAGTGAGGGATATTTGAGGGGTCTGTTAAGAGGCCAGGAAGGAAACAAACATGTTTCACCGCAGCACCACAGCAGAAAAGTGGGATCAGGTTTGATGAACATTTGCAGAGGAAGTAAAGCCTAAAAACAGATTTGGTGGATGAATTTGTACATTTGACCTAATAAAACCCTCAACAGTTAAAAAGAAAATAAACAAAAGTATAACTTATGTTAAATGATGACTCAGGGGAACATGAATTTGAATAAAACTAAGTGCACAAAAAACAAACAAACAGGAAAACTTTTATCTATTTTTACAATTTTAAAGCTTTGTCTAACTTTTGACCCGTTCAAGTAAAATACTCAGATTAAATCACAAGTCTCCTCTGAACTCGAGTGGAATATATTAGGTGACAATAGACTTTTAGGGTTGCTTCATTGACTTTCGTCTGTGGAAACCGATGGAAATGTACGAGATCATTAAATGACAAATTAAATAATACATTGACACGTCATAACGTAAAGTCCATGCAGGCTCGAGTGCAACCTGCACTTTTTAAATCTTATTTAAAGTTTAACATATTGACTATTAATGTAGATAAAACATTCTGTGTCCTTTCCAAATGTGTACTTTTTTAAAAACTTGTCATTTTTGCAGGAAACACGGGCATTTTAATCATGATGTAAAAGCAGCAAATGCACCTAAAACAGAGAGTGGAGGCCTAACTGAATTAATTTCGCACTGTAACAACAGCCTATTCAATATTTAATAGGAAACTGAAAAGGAGATTCCTTTCAACTAAATCATTTTTTGACTATTAATAGTTAAATATTGTCCTCAATAGAAAGGTTGTGTGATGAAAGAAGGCTGAACTATTTTCTCTGGTGTTGGACATAAGATAATGTTTTTGTTGATGCACGGATAATCACTAACTGTTTAGGGCGCTAGTTCTAATGTCCATGTGATCAGAGCAAAGAGAAAAACAACACACACATTTTCAAACCCAGATTTTATTAGACAGTACAAGTAAAACGAAACTGAAGACGAGTTTCTTCATCCCCTCCAAAAAAATGCACTTCTTCTGCGGTGGTGTTGGGAGGCTGAAAAAAATGACTCTCACACCTCTCCCTTCCTTTTTGAATTGTGCCGCTCCGCTTCAAGGAACTTTAACGAGACGGAAAACTATCGCCGGAGGAACACTGCGCACTAACAAGAGAGCATCGCTTCACATGTATCACATTCGGAGTTGGAACAGTGAAATTAATAACCATAAAATATGCTACCTCGGAACATAAAGTCTATGACATACACTCCGTCTCAAAGTGAGAAAGCAAATCGATGTTTTTAGCAGGAGTTACTGAGATACTGCTGATGTGGAAGAAAAGCAGTAAAAACTGCTCACGGAGAAACTAAAATAACAGCAGGAAGGTTGCATCGACTACATTCTTTTTGTTACTCTTAGCAAAAATAATCTTCAAAGTCAAATTCTCGGACCTGTTGACTTAAACTTGACCGCATGCACACACGCACTTTGACCTGTGTCGAACTGTATCTCATTCACATATTTAATGCAATGCTTCACACTAGAGCAAATAACACAAAAAGTGAATTATATATATATATATCCACCTCTTATTTTCTTTCATCTTCTGTCTTCTTTCTTCGGCTCAGCAGCTCTCTCAGAACCTCCGGTTTCTTTAACACCTCCGCATGTTGTCTCTCGTGCTCCTCAACTTTCTGACCATCCTTTTGTTCTTCTCCATTTCTCTTCTGGTAGCTTGGATTTCATTGTCTGCCAAGGCCCACCTCCGTTTCTCCACTCTTTCCCAGATTCAGTGGCATCAGTTGGACACAGAGTTCCTCTCCCTGCTGTCCTGATGTCCACAGCGACTTGTAAAGCTTAAATGCTACGAGTCCCGTCAGTACCTCGGGGGCAGAAAGGGTCTTTTTGGGAGGAACATTGGACCAGCTGGACCCCCTCCCCTCGGACCTGGACGTTTGCCTCTTAACCTCGGATCGGGGCCACGTTGGAATCCGGGGAACGGCGGGCGTGGCGGGCCTCTCGGGCGAGGATGGTGTGCTGGGTGGGGAGGCTGATGTGGATGGCGCTGACCAGGATGACGGATCTCGAGATGATGAGGTGGAGGTGGTCTTCTCGGAGTGTAGTGGGGGGGTTGGGGGCTGTGGTGTTGGTACTCGTGGGTGTAGTAAGGATCCTCTGAGGGTGAGAGGGGGGCATCGAGGCGGCCTTGGACTCTTGGGTAGTGGCGTGGAGGGCTGCCCGGCCTGTAATATGGATCTTCTGGGTGGTGGTAAGGGTCGTCTTGAAAGAAAGGAGCTTCCTGATAGCAAGGGTCCTCGTGGTAGCGCAGGTCATCAGGGTGAGGAGGGCGAGGATGATCTCGATCATATGATGGATCGTCTGGATGAAACAGGGATTTGTGTTGATGGTCGTGGACCACCATCCCACTGATGACGCTGTCTGCTCTGGGTCGCATCATCTCTGCCGTGTCCGGGAGGGGCATCCGCTGCTGCTGCTCAATGGGAATCATTGAGCTGTTTGTCGCAGCATTGGAGGTGTCAAGGCCATGAAGAATAGGAGGGAGCTTTGGGACAGGAGGGAGGGGGCTTGTGAAGAAACCAGAGGATGTAGCTGAACCCTGCTGGACTTCTGGAGGTTTATGATTTGCCCCTGCTTGGTAGGGATAGAGTGATGATGTCTGGTTCTCTCCAGGCATCGCAAGATTGTAGCCTCCAGGTTGTTGAGAGATTCCCTTGGGGTAAATGTCCCCGTACCAACTCCTCTCATTCACCGCCTGAAAGCCGTCGACTGTCTGTGTGCTGCTGGCACCGCCTGGGGCTCTTTCTCCAGGCACTGATCCTCCACAAATCTGCTGGTAATGTGCAATAGGTGCAGTAATCCCATGCACTGACAACTCTTGTTTGCCATATTGGTATGGCTGGTAGACCTGTCCATTCTGCGCCACACCTGGCTGCAGGTGAGCCTGCTGTTGTGAAGGGTTGGGGTTCTGCTGACTGCTGTTCTGGTACACAATAGAAGCCGTTTCAAAAGTTTCTCCAACAGATGATGATTGCGTTGTGCCGGAAGAGAACAGGGCCGTCGCAGGCTTGTCCATGATTTCATCTTGAGTTGGGGTGCCTCCGCCCTCGTCACGCACCGGGGTCCCTTCCTGGGTGTCTGGCCCAGGTACTGGGCTGAGGTTATCCCCTGCCTGCGCCGGCTGTGAAGGAAGCCCCAGGTCAAATGTACTGAAAGCAGAGTTCCCCTGAAGGAAGCTGTGGATTTTAGACTCTAAGCTCTGAGAAGAAGAGGACAGTTCTGGCTCTGTGATTAAGTCCATGTCTCTGTGGAGAGCCTGGACCAGGGCAGAGGCCGGGTTTGCAGCCTGAGGGGTCGCTTGGGAGCTTGTGCTCTGCTGTACGGTGGAGCTGAGTGAAGAAGGCATGGATGCAACAGAGTAGAGAGACGGGCTCTGAGTGGCTGCTGCTGATGTAGATGTGGACAAGGGAGAGGGGGAGGGAAGAATCTTGCCTGTATTGGAGGAGTCTGAGGAGACATTTGCAGCCGGGCTGCTCAGAACTGAAGTGATCCCTAAATAAATAAAAGGGAGAAAAATCAATAAAACGTATGATATGTAATAGAGATTATTTTCATTAAAGGTTTATATTATATTCTCACCCTCAAGGCTGCCTTTGCCCTGCACTTTTGCGAGAGCACCGAGGATATCAGCAGGGCTAACATCCACCTTGGAGAGGAGGTTTGCAAGTGAACTGGCTTCCTGGGGAGCCACGAAGGACGCAGGTGTGCTCTTCACAGCTGCAGGAGGACTTTCCACTAATGGTCCTGTGAAACAAACAAGGATACTCACATCTTATAGTAAATAACCAAAATCCTGTTACAGGAGGATGCTGGGAGTTTAGGTAGATGTTTGATCAAGGGACAAAGTATTGTTGTTGGAGTTTGAACAACAAAAGTCAAATTAAATTATTTAGTCAAATTTTATTAGAGATCATTGCAGAAATCACTCACCTGAGCTCTTCATGACTGAGCTTAAACTGTTGAGGATGGAGCCGATTTTACCCAGGTCGACACTCTCCAAGGCCGATGTGGGAGCTGCTACGGGAGGCGTGGCCTGTGAGACGGGCTGCTCTGTTACCACTGATGGCTCTGTTTTCACAGGGACAGGAGGAGACACCTCTGGGTGGGTTGGGTGCTCAATTTGCTCCTCGACTGAGAAGAAAAACATGACAGAGGATGACAATGTGGATGCTTTCAGTTTAGCCCTTTATGTAATAAAACAAGACGAATTAAGATATTTCACATTCGATATTACACAACAGAATTAATGTTGCCCTTGTTTTTCTACAAGCAGATTATTTATGGAACCAGAGAAGTCAATGCCAATAAAATTAATGGAGGGGAATACGCTGCCAAAAACAGTGACACAGTCGATCAAGCTTTCTGCGAAACACTAAATTATGCAGGTTACCCGTAGAAAATAATCATTTTCTTCCCAGAAACCTTTACAAACAGGTGCCAATAAAAAATGCTTATGTTTTCATACTGACAAAAAGTCTGATACTGGCTTTAAGATATTATGCATGCTGTTTCAATAAAGTAACTAAGAATCTGATGCTTATTTTCTCTATTCCAGAGATAGTTCTGTTGTGGGGTTGTATGAGGTACTTCCCTCAAGGGCGGAGGAACATGTATGTGTTTCATCCCATAAACATTTGCAAACAAAGTAGCGCTCTGATGCTAAAATAAAGCCAATATATATTTTTTAATATAGTATACTGTACACTTAAACCAACATTGGTATTTATTTATGTCAGACTTGCTTAACATGAGCTACATTGCGAGGTACAAGCGGCCGCAGAGATGTATTGCCTAGCTTCCATGCCATTATCTACTGTGGGTGGTTCAGTTACTATTGACAAGTACCTCAGACAAACCCCACTTCAACAAAATAAACTATCCCTTTAATTGTCTGCAGTTTATATAAAATGTCCAAAACAATCAACACAATGTCTGGTTTCAGCTACATACTGTTGAATATATGAGTAGAGCAAAAGTAACAACATTTTACATATCTTATTAACATATCTATGCACATGTAAAGGCTTGAAAAAGGTCATATTTTCACTCATCAGTGTAAAGAGAGATATCTAACAGAGATCAAATAAGCAAATGTTGTTGTAGCCAATAAAAAAAGTTTACCAAAAATAAAGAATCTGTAAACTGTCAGATATTTGGCTGTTGAGAAGATACATCTAATTTTAATCTGATGAATATGTGGGTGGAGTAAAGCGTTCCAGCTAAATTGGCTAGCTAATAGACAGGAAGAAATGCTTGGATGGTCTTGGATGCTTGACATGTGAAAGCGATGGTAGAAGAGATTCTGTGCACGATTCATTGCCTTTGTACTCCTATTTTTGGTGGCATTTCTCAATTTCATTATCTTGGACGTTTCTGCATCATTTTTCATGCCATGCGTCAGTAGAAATGACCACAAACAGCACTCTCACCTATAATCCCTCCGCTCTCCATTTCTTCCTCAGAGAGCTCCATATCCTCCACTTCCAGTTTGTCACTCTCCCCGAGGGTCTCCATCTGCCTGGGGGATCCTCCGGGTGAGGACAGGGGGCTTGGGGCTGGTGGCTCCGCCTCGTCGTCCATAGCAGAGCCGTCCAGATCTGGATCGGGTTGAGCCAATTCCATGCCATGAAAAGGTGACTCTGAGCCCGTTGGAGATGGGGCGTCTGCAGAGGGTGACGGGATTGGTGACTCGTCCAGGTCTGGTAAGTTGGTCTTCAGGGCATCCAGCTTACGCTTCAGTTGGGACACCCGGTTTGCAAACGTCTGGTAGGCCTTTAGAGGAGAGGAGACATCAGAAAATAATGATTAAAACTAAATAAAAAATGTTTTCATGGGCAGTATGAAATTAAATCAAAAACACATCTGCTGACTTGAAGAGTAAAGAGTAAGCAAGTTAAACAGAAATATATTATAAACACACAAGTGGGAACAAAGAAAAACCACATAGCTTTAAAAAGGAACCAACCTTAAAAGGAAATAAAAATACTTTTCAAAGTCTTGCCAATAATATATAAGTAGAATTTTCGTTTTTAGAATATGTTGAAGATAACTTCTTTCATTCTGCCCTTCAGTATAATTTCCCAGTCAATCTGTTTAATTTATGTATGTATGTTTAATATGCATTAGAATATGTGGCTTCCACTCCATTTCAAAGCTTACACTAATATCTTAAAACAAAGGAAATGATCTTGAATGATCTGATGACACATTACTTTTCTTAATCTTCACAGCCCTATCAAGGTGGTTCTCTGATGTTGTGGGCAGACGATTAAGTTGACTCACATTAGCAACAATCTTGACCTCCTTGTACTGCATCTCGTAGAAGATATCTGCGTTGCCGAGAGCCTCTAAGAGAGAAGGACCTGTTTTACTCTCGTTCTCAAGGAACTTTACGAACTCCTGCAGTTGCGCACTCCCCTCCTCAAAGTCCTTGGAGAACTTCTTTCCTCCGGCTTTGTCTGCAAGAAAAAACATCATGAAAGGTTGACTTTAGAGGCAAGAAAGAGAAAGCACAATGCTGATGTGGAAGCCAGGAGGATGTGCGTGTTGCTGTGGGACAGACAGCCAAAGATGACTTCAGAAGGCACCTTTGAGTTTTCTGAGGGCCTCAGTACTGCAGATGTCAACCCTCATAGCTGCCAGCTGTTTCTCTCTTAGGTCAACATCCTCCACAGATCTCTTGTACTTGGACAGCTGGTCTAGGAGTGCCTGGGGCTAAAGCAGAGAGAGCAGTCAGCCACAGTGTCAGGCACGTATGAAAATCAGACTCACACAATAATATAGAAAAGATCTGCTAAGTAGAGATCAGTTCAGCTTACCACAAACTCAGCAACAACTTTGGACCGTAGATCTGCTTTTGAATCAACTGGAGCTTTAAAATACAAGAGAAACTAAAGAGATCAGATTAACGAGCAAAGTATGGTTCATATCAACACACACAGCATTCAGTATTAGGGTAACCAAGTACATTCAATCAAAATGTAAGACATTTTCAAAAATGTGAATAAGGAAACATTGGTTAATTAATAATAGGAGCTAATAAACCAACAACAGACTTTAGGTTTAGAGCCCTGGGGGGGGGGGGGGGGAGTCGGACAGCACCACAGATACTTAAAGGAATAATGGTGTTCATGTGTTTCTTTTAATGACAGCAGTCAATATAACAACTGAACAATTATTTCAACTTGTAACAGTCTGTCCAGCTTAGTTTTTTTTTCTGCAACTCCCGTTTCTGAGCGCACCTGAATGCATCTCTCATTGTCTGAGCAGCCCTGAATGCAACATGCTGACAGCGAAACACTGAGTTTGTGTTTTAAGAAAGTGTAAAATGTAAAATATATATTTTTTGAGTTTCTGATTGCTTGATACTTGATCAAGTGTATCATGTTTTCATGTCATGCACCCAAAGTGAGCAACTGTCCTGGAATTAAAGGTTCAGTTTCAATGGTCAAAGTTAACTTTAGTGATTATAAAAGTTGTTTATTTTCAAAAGCCTGCCCCATATATCTATTTCTCAATATTATTTCCAAAATGCAACATAAAGACAAACTGAGGTGTTTGTTTAGTTTAGTTGGTGGAGCAGGCGCCCCATATTCAGAGGATACAGTCCTCAACACATGTGGCACAGGTCCGACTCCTGGTCTGGACCCTTTGAGGCATGTGTCCTCTCTCCTCCCTACATTTCCTGTCTTTCTTCAGATGTGTCTAATAAAGGCAAAAAAGCCCTAAATAAATAAATGATATACTAGTATAAGTGAATATGTTTGCTAAATTGTGCCTACAGGGAAACATGTTCAGATGCTGGGTTGGTTTAGAATTGGTGTCATGGTTTATCCAGCAGTTTGCAGGTGGTGGTTTGGTTGACAACATATAATAATGTTACAAATTTATTAATCAAGTATATTTTTGCATAGTCATAATAGTGTAAAAATGATGCATAGTTTACATAAAAGGGTCTTTTTTCAGAACAGATTAAAAATTCTCAAATCTGTATCTGTACTAGTAACAAGAATCCCAGTACGGGTCAAGCTCCTGTTGTTTTTTATCACGGGTTTAAACTAAATTTCCACCATTCCAGCTGATCATCATCACTACTAAATCACTACTACAAACTTGAAGCACAACTCCATCTTTGCATTTTCATTCATCCATAAAACCCCACCGGGGTCATTTTACTGATAGAGTTAATCTCTCATGTCCTCAGGACAGCAAAAAACAAAGCTGAAATTAAATGTCACCTTGCTCAGGTGGAAAACAAAGTCTGCTCTCCTCTGGACTGTCATTGAACCTGCAAGTGTGTTCGTAAAAATGTCAAAAAAGCAAGCGAGAAATGAAATTAGTTAATACACTTACTTTTCTGCTCCACGGGCGTCTCAGGAGGAGACTCTTCTTTGACTAAACTACTCCTCAGCTCGGTGATGAGTGTCCCCGAATACACCCCCCTCTCTTCCCAGATGGACAGTATCCTCTCCACTGATTTAATTACCTTAGGGTCACCTTCATAGCTGCAGAAAGGAGAGAGGATGACACAGTAAGAGACAGGAGTTATTTATGTTGGGGTTGTCATGACATTTGCTTATTTATATGTTAGAGGAATGAATAAAGGCCAGACGGGGAAACAATGGATGAAAGTCAAACTAAAGCATCTCTAGTTTTGTATTAAACATACAAACACTATACGATCTAAATACTTACTTGACAAGCAAGAAGGCGTCCCGAAGCACCTCAGCAAATGCGGTGCGATAAACGATGGCGTTTTTCCTTTTACAGTTCTGAATGACATCGTTAGCCAGGTAAATAAGATTGAGCCTCTGTGAGGGGTCGGCTGTAAGAGGATAGACAGAGACAGTATGTTAGACACTGTTGGCTATTTTAAAACTTAATACGATTCTAGGAAAAATCCAAAGATATTGATACCTGATTTATCATAGTAACAAAACTTGAAGTTCCAGCCACCATATATACAGGATTTTCTTGGTTTTTAATATACAGAACTTGCAGGCACACTCCTGCACACTGTCTACATTCAAAAAATAAGTTTACAACGTTGTTACCTTTTAAGAAATACAGTTAGTATGACTGAAGATTCAAAGGTTTTTAAAGCGCTGGTACTTTTCAATTCTACCGATTGTTAAATAAAGGCTGTTGTATTGTTATAAAATACATGGCATCAAAACGTATTTAAGTATCAAACATTTTGACAACCTCAGGTTAGGGTTTATATATCTGGTAACAAAGCAATGAGTTCATTATTTATATGATGTAACTGATTGTGTTCTTCTAAGCTTCTAATCATCGTTACAAATGTGACATTTTTAGCAGCCAAAAACATGATTTTTATGATATTTAAGGGAAGAAGCAACAAAGTTTACTGTTAGTCAAACTTCGATGTATAAAATAATTCCCTTTCTTTAACACAACTACTGATAAGTGTGTAACACATTCAATGGGCATTTGACCTGACGGACTGTTTCATTTGTTCAGTGGACATTAGTTTAGTTAGTATGAATTTTGGTCAAACATCAGACGATGTCACATACACATGTTTTTTATGACAGCAACAGAGAGCTTTAATCACGTTACACTACTTTTTTCACACATAGAAACGAGTAGTTTAATTTAAATACTTTTGATATCAATGTCCATGGATACCAAATCAATGCTATTGCTGATATTATACTTAAATCAGCCTTTCTTAAATTAAACTTCTCAATGATTCATGATATCAATATCATATCAAAGAAAACATAACTACGATTCACACCAAACATTTTGAACCAACTTATGGATCTATAGAAACTCTCCACAAAGTAACAAAGTGTACTAACCATCCCAAAATAACTCCTATTTAACGGGAGTATTTATACAGTAAAATACAGAGAAAGATATCAGAACAAGCAAACAATGAAAGGTGGTCAAATATAAGAGTGGTAGAAATATAATAATAATACATCAACATATGTTGAGGGGTTATAAGTATTTAAATGCCATCAAAGTGTGACACAACATATCTTCAGAAACAACAGATTCAATTTCACAGCTGTAAAGGATGTTAGAGGACATCCCTCTAACCAGAAGAACAAACACAACAACAAAACAAAGAGCTCTTTGTAAAGTTGCATTACAAACCGGTAAACCTATAAAAGAAAGTCTCTGAGGAAATCATACCATCCGTTAATCTGAAAGTATTCACAGAATCATTGTTATTGCAAGGCAAACTGATGGTTTTGTTTGTGTATTGAATTTATGTTTCAGTTTGTGATTTTTGAAAATCAAACTGGTATAATCAGTAAACAACATTTGAGCTAACTGAAATTCAATTTAACAAACAATACAAACAGCAAGCACAAAAAGAGGCAGTGAAAAGTGAGGCCTAGCCGCCTCTGAGATCTGATAAAAGCTCAACTTTCACACAGTCTGATTGTAAAACCAAAATCAACCAGCCGACCTTGACAGTAACAATGTGTGTGTGCAAAAGAACAAGGAAATTGATTTGGGAACAACAAAAACTGAGAAACATTAGAAACAAAAGTTATGTTATGTTACATAAAAACAAAGTATTCTGCATTGACTGACAATAAATCAAGGTTTAAGAATGAGTAGTTATGGAAGAAAAGGAGTTAATCGGTTATTTTGATTTCTTTAAAACCAACACCTGAAAGATATTCACTACTCAAAAACAAAGACATCTTTAGTTAAGCCAAAAAGAAACGTTGACGTGTCCACTAACCCATGCAGCAAAACAATAGATAAAATAACTAATCGCTGCTCTGTTTATTTATCCAAATGTCATCATAAACGTCCCATGGTCAAAAATAATCTAAGACGCTAACCGTGATATGAAACACTTGAAAACTGATGTGTGATGCTGTATTGTAAATTTTAAAAGTTTAGGTAATAATAATATATTTCTGAGCTTTTATCCCCCATGAGCCAGGTTGCTGTCTGACATCCTCTGGAGCTCTGCTGGCTGAAAACTAAAGGGGACAGGACCCCAAACTTTGGAAGAGCCTGTCAGAGGAGATCAGAATTCAAACGAGTCAGTCGCTCGTTTTAATTCTCTAATCACACAAAAATGTTTCCCCTGTGACTTTATCTTATATTAGTTTTTATTTTTATTAATCTGTAATTCTTCCTGTCTGTTTGCTTTTATTTCTGGTTTGCTTTTAACTACAACTCCACTTCACTTATAAAGCACTTTTCATACATAACATCCCAAAGTGCTTCACAAAAGAACAGACAGGAAATAGAAGACAAACACTTAAGACAAAAGATAAAATCCAATAAGACTAAAACAGGAAAGAGAGTAATAAAAATAAAAGTTAATTCAGTAAGAAACAATCAAATACCGGTATGTAGGAATTAGTCAATTAAAATCTATAAAAGTTGGATAGGATAAAGATAAATACAATTAAAAAATACCAGAGATATAGCTATTGTAAAAACAATGTACACAGGTCGGATTCAAACCCGGGCCGCCCGCTTGGAGGACTATAGCCTCCATACATTGGCGCATGCACTCATCACTAGGCTACTGGCGCCTCCATTGCTTGATAGTTTTTATTGCTGTGAGGCACTTTGTTACCTGTATTGAAAAGTGCTATACATGTTAAGTATTATTATGATCATTATTGATAACACTGTCAAATACTTTCTTCAATTTCTTAGTCTAACAATAGTGATCCATCACAGAGTCCAGGGCAAAGGTGATGTCTTAACAGTTATTATTTCTAATATTTTTTAAATAAAATAGATGTTTGGATTACAGAGAGACAGAAAAATTTAGCTTTTTTTCTTTTTCACACATTTTGAGCAACTGAAAACAAAACATTCTGAAATATTTTCAACACCCTTTAAAATTTACTTAACACCATTTTTGATTTACAATTAATGACATATTTCTTTACACATATTATAGATTAATTTTTATAATAAAGATGTTGTATAAAACTCATATAAGACCATATGCTGCTGATTGTCATCAATCAAGTAATCTAAGTTATTCTATCTTTTACAGTATTTTTTATTTTCACCGCTGTGCAGTGAATTCCTCAATGATTACAGATAATGATTACCACTGGACTAGGCCTCATAAAAAGGTCAGGGGTCAGGAAGTTTACGACATCCTAACAGTAAACTCTAACATTTTCAAGTCACAAGTCAATTCTTGTGGCAAAGGCTCACATAATGCATTTCTCAGTTAGGAAATAAACTCAACAGCTCCGTAACTGAGACAAAACATGTGGACAACATTGAAGAAAAGCACACTGCAACCGTGGACTCAGAAGCACAACCTGTTGTTCACATTTACACACTGAGAGCAGTGAAAGAAAGGGCATTGCCATCACCTTTCTCTCTCTCTTTGCTCACACTAAGAAGAACACAAAGTTTCAACACAAAGCCAAACAACAGCAGAAATAAAGACTAAACTCAAGCTCATGTGAATGTCACACAAGGTCCTGAGCTGAGGTTTGGATATTCAGTTTCAAAATAACATGGAGAGTTTTTTTATTAAAGGATTTAATAGTAATTACAGTATTTTTTCTATTGTCTTAACTTTACAGGGAAAAAAAAGCATTTTAGGTTAATTAAAAACCATATTGCAAATGCCATTCGCGACAATCTGAAAATATAAAAAAAAGCAATGTTTTCATTTACACTGAAGGTACAAGAACAATCTAGATTAACTGTAATTAAGACAATTTTTCTTTGCAGCTAATTTGTTTTAAATGCTGTATTTCTGCCTAATGTGGAAAGTGGTCTAAAAGGTCATTCCCATGCGCAAGTCTTTATATTTGAGAAGACCGAGACAAAATTAAGCCCAATTTATGGATTTTCATGTCCGTCAAGAGAGGCAGAAACAGACGGTAAGCATTAAATATGATATCAGGTTGACTTGTTTCTGATGAACAGACCTGGAATCAAAACTCCTTTACTCAGAAAAATAAGAAGAATTAGCCTTCACTGCAAAAAAAAAAAAAAAGAAACTTTACAACATAAACTAAAACAGAGCAACTTTACATTGATTTCAAAGGTGAGTATATCTTAACGATTTGTTTAACATCCTAAAAAGTCGAGTGAGAATAATACAACACATAATTGAGTAGTTTAATGAACAGAATAACCAGAATAAAAGAGTGCTTTAACTTTTGTTTTCATCAAACACAGGGCACCAAACATCACATTATATATTTAGCATGGACATTCAGAAACCAACTTGTACTTTTATACTGCCATATCCATTTCTTTTTTTTCAATATAGAACAACAATAATAAAGGAGTAAAATTAAAGTTGAACAAAGAGCCCTTCTAAAAGATAATATAACAGTGCAGCTCCCAGTTGGTACCATACTTAAGGGACTTGAGGGTACATTTCCTAAACAAATGGGCAATAATCAAAAAAACAAAATACAAATCAAACAAATGGGAATTGGGAGTGGGGTGTTAAAAGTCGCTTTAACGAAAACTTTATAGCAGGGAAAGTTAGTTTGTTTTCTCAGCAAACCTTGGAGCACTCATTTACATTATGTCCTCAGACGAGACGTAATCTCACATGAAAGCAGAGTACGTCTCTACTTACCATGGATTATTTAATATCAACACACTATTGGCTAGCTAGGTCCTTACTTAGGATGAGTGCACGTTTTGTTTTAAACATGCAGTGATATTAAACAGTGTAACATGTCACACTTTAGACAACAGCGTAAGCAGCACCTGTCACTTTACGACGTGTTACGGTTACTTACATTTCTTCACACACTTTATCCAGTGTCGTACAATCAGGCTGTGGTACTTCTTGTTCTCGATGCACCACATTGACAGTCCTTGAATTGAATCCATCGTGTTTGTGACAGATCGGAACCTCCGGTCCATAGTGGACTCGAACGAGCCGCCGGAAGCTCCCGCAGCCATGTCCGAAGGAGCTCTATCATCCCAGAAGAAGAAATGAACGGAGCTGCTACTAGCACTTAGCTTAGCATATCATCTTAACGTAGCACAGGTACCATAGCGTTCAGCTGCCATTGTACTGTTTAAATTTTCTTAAAGCTTTTTTCAACACTTTATGCGTCTATATAGTATCTAACGTGAACTCCCGAGTCACACTAAATGGTAAAAATCATGAAACATTCAAGGCTGAAACTCGGCGCCTAGCGACATCCTGACAATTTATCAGAACATTCAGTGGGACTGTTTACTCGGTGCTTGTTGCCGCGATGAAGGGCACTTCCGCAAACTTCAAGTAAATAGGGCGCCACCTAGCGTCACGGAAGCTATTGACAATTATCAACGCCCCCTGCTGCAGGAAACGCAGGGGAACTACTTCTGGTTCAATAAGTGCAGCAGTGGGGGAGGTAATATAGAATATTTGATTAAAGTAACGATATCAAACGTTCAGACACAAACACTCATAAAATACTGCTTTTCAATTGTATCCAGGAACCAACAAATTGTTACTGATTCATGAGACATTTAGTAGCTTACTCAATGCTTCAGGAGGTTTTTGTTAAAACTCAGACATCCTAAGTAATGAGATAATAATTATTTCCTGTACGGAAAAATCTTTATTTGAAAATAAGAAGGTAACTTATAGCTGTCAAAGAAATGTGTAAGGAAAGGGGTCCACAGTATTCTTTAAAAAATTGACTTATCTGTCTCATGGAGCCTGTGCAGCACAAAAATAATTACACTTTAAGAGTTTAATTGTAATGCATCAATTAACTAATTTTTGAAAAAGTAAATGATAACCTAGACTTTACATTTTGCATCATAGAACTGCTTTCTGCCATAATAATTGGTAAAGAAGAGCTTCACCTGATGTTAGGGAGATAAAATATATTGAAATCTTGAGTTGGTAATAGACGAATAAACACATCCTTTAAGCCTAAAGGCAGATTTTTCTTTTTAATAAACAGGCCTACTATGGATCAGTTTGGACTTTCAGTGTTTTTTCAGCAGAAAACAAGAAACATTCATCATATTAGGTGTTCACGTCATTTTTTTAATCCATAAAAATGTGCTTTATCAGTCAATAACAAATAATGACAACAATGTATCAGAAAGAAAGAACTTTTTAAATAAAAGAAACTTCATAATAAAAACTCAAATGTACGATACATTTTCTCAACTTTCACCTTGTTTTTGTATTTTACAAATAAAAAATATGTAACCCAGCACAGCAAAACCTGTACCATAGGATTCTGCATATTATACACAGAAACAACACTAAACCACATTGTTGTTCCTTAGAATTTTAATTTTAATTAACACATCTCAGGGCCCATAAGAATGACTAATGGTGAGGCCTAAGCGAATCTAAACAATGGCACATTTGGTTTGATGACATGTTGAGATGATTTTACCACTGTTGGAGAAGTATTGTACTTGTTTTTTTTGTAAGGCTGACTGGTGACAAACCAGAAATAAAACACCATTCAATATGAATGATATCTGATTTTAAAGATTGACATAATATGGTACAAATGCCATTAGAAAGGAAACAATGTGTTCAGGAACGGAAATGATCTGTTCACCAAATCTCCATGATATTGCTTATGTCATTATAAATAACAAAGCACTGAGTGATATAACTTTTGAAACCGCATGACAGTGATGGAAAACTATTTTCAAAGGGACAAAGAAGACGTTCTTACCCTCATAGTGATACACAGCATTTGGAGCTTTTAGTGAAAACAATAAGCCTGATCGTAAGCTTAAATGACTTTTTTATGCATTTAACCGAAATTCCATCCAGAGTCAAAAACATAAAAGTTCAAATTAGTGGAATTCAATGACAATTTTCCCTCTAATTCAAGTTGCTGTAAAGCACCTCAAAAGATATTTAAAAACACTAATTTGACCAAAATGTGTAACATTTCCTCATCATGTCATCCGAAGTTCAAATACATCTTTTCCAATCCACAAAGGATTAAATATATTGTACCCATGATACATTTATTTAAAAAAAAAACAACCTCATGTGCATAATGAAATGTTAAATTTTTAACCCTTTTTGCCCAAAACAAGTTCACTCATGTCTAGCTAACAAGTTAACTGACATATCAACATCAAGCCAAGCATCCCATCAACTATCATGATACTTGTTGATTCTCCTGTGCAGCACTATGTTTTATTTTAATATTAAGTGAAAGTACATCTATTCTTATTCACATACAAAGGACTATGTGAGTGACGTAAGGTGCTCTTGATACTTGGTCAAGCAAAATGGTTTGTTTGGCACATATCAGCAGCTGCAGCATGCCTTTGCTCTACTATATGCTGCAGTTAACGGTTTGGACACAATTTGAACATTACTTAATTCACTTCAATCGTCTGTGGTCATGAGAATTTGGGCTAAACTAACAATAATTTGACTGTATATTAAGCTGCCAATTATTTTCTCCAGTCATCTAGCCGTTGTTAAGACTAAAAATGGGAGAAAATGAGGGCTAATGCCAATCACAAGTTGTCAGAGCACCATGTAAAACCAAACCAAACATATGTTAAAAAGAAAATAAAGAGCTCAAATGTAAGGAGATATAACCAGGTCAGGTCATTTTAAAGCATAAAACATGGATTACAAACTGAATCCTGTTTTTAATGTTTGGGATGATGTGAAAAATAAAAACGGAGCACAGGAGCTTTAACACATTATGTGTTAAGTATATTCAACATCCTTTAACATGGTCAAAGTGTAAAAAAATGATACTCTTAAAGACAAGCATACAATTTCTGTTAATATAGTGCAATAGCTCCAATGTGATGAAAAACAGACACTGGATATTTAGGGGTGAACAAATGTCTCACTTTGTTTCTCCTCTTCCTCTTATGCTGTCTCATGCCTTGCAGCCAATACAGACTGGCTCTCTTTTCATAGCTTTATGCTTATGCAATCAAGCACACCCTCTGCTGGCATGCTGCCTCACCGCCATGTGTTAGGGGATTCAGCTAAGGCCAGCTAAGGTGAATAAGATAAAGAAAAGTTGTTGCTTGTGGAGACTGAGCTGTCCTGTGCTGCTGGACTGCCACAAGAGGAGTGCAGAAAAATCTCAGGCGTTCTCAGATCCTCACTTTCTATCTTGCTACAAAAATATGACCGCCTTATTAAAGTGCCAATGTCTGTGAACTGGTGTCCAGCTGTACGTCTGTTTACAGCCGGTACATGTGTTACTTCTGCTGCTGGAGTTTTCAGTATTTTAGTCAGTCCAGGTAAGGGTGTGGAAATGGTGTTGAGTGGAGTCACAGCCTGGCAGCTTCCATAGCTTCCATATCGGTGGAGCTTATACTTGTTTGGGACTGTGCCAGAGCAGTCAGAGTCATACCAGGTCATCTTTCTCTTCTGGAATGGAAAAGTAAAACCTACATTAACAGCCATGACAAACCAAGGTATTAAGTTAAAACCTCTAATGCTCTTGTAAACAGCTTTGTGCAACGCGCATTTATTTACAACTTAAATTACAAACAAAAGAAAATATGCTACATGATTTTTAAAAAACCTAATGGTTGGTTTTTAACAAATGTCCCACCTCTGACAGGGTGAATAGCCAATCACACTTTATTTTTGAGGTGGCCAATCAGATTTCTAGGGGGGCCCTTGCCACCCCTCTGGACTTAAAATATGTATTCAACATCAGACATGAGTAATTGTTACTTTAACATATCTTATTCTTATGCATCCCTTTGTCCTTTTGTTGAACCACTCTCCTTGTATGAAGGTTGCTATATAAATAATGATCTTCAGTATGCTAAGCTCACCTTAACAGGAATGTGGAGCTGGTTTTTGCGCCAGCGTTGTGGGAGTCTAGGAGTGGTGGTCTGGATTGGTGCATGGAGGGAACGAAATGCCACATGAGGGAACCAAATCTTTAGCATCATCTCTATCTGAAGCAGATTGTGGAGGTGTTTCTCACTGTAAAAAAAAAAAAGAACAAGTATGAAACACTGAAAATGTGTTCTTTTGTTTTCTAATAGCAACATCCCCTTTACCAGAGGTGTGAAAATCCAACACTTACTATTTGTGAATGACTTACCCCATTTCAGGCCTCTGTAGTATTCCAAGGATCTTCTGTAATCTGTCCATGGCAACACTCTGTTGGAAACTGGATAAACCTGCCAAAATTGAAATATAACAAACAAATATGAAGCCAAATAGGTACTCATATTGTATTAACTACAGGATTGGATGCACTTAAACTTGAGATGAGGTGCTAATAGAGTTTCAATCTTTTCAATGACTCACCTTTGTCAAATTTGCCAGCCTTTAGTCTGTGTAGAAGTTCAAGCAAAGGATGAATAAACCTGTGCAGATCTGCACACTGAGGAAGTAAGGAGAAAGACTTGTTTTAATACTTTAAATGACCTTCAATTTTGTTGTCAAATATATATGTTTTTTTAAAACACATCTAGTAATCAGTTTGTGGGGGCTCACTTTCTGCGCGAAGGCCAAGTCCCCTGGTGTCGCTGAAGAGGATCCAAACATGGCAACAACTGGAGACGACACAGAGCCGGGAAGTTTAGTTTTGTCACTGCAGTGTTTGGATTGGTCGCTCCTGGACCTCAGGTGGTCTGAATGAGCTGGGAAATCAATGTAACTTCTAGAAAGGGAGATTTCCTCATCCCCTGAGGGGGACTTTCTCGTTCTTAAACTGTCCCCCTCTCCCTCTGAGAAGACGTCAGCTTCATCCTCGGTCTGCTCGCTTTCACTGTGGAGAAAGCTCGAGTTGGAAGGGAGTGAGTCATGGGATGGCCATTTGGAAGAACAGCTCAGTGAATTCATCTGTGGAGAAAGGGAGACAAAACAAAATTCCATGAGTTGAAAATTGAAGGAGTACAGTAAAATCAATCAGAAAGAGTTATGGCATTGAAATCAAATGGAGTTCAAAATATAGAAAAAGTATTCGTTGGAGACATGTGTTGGTGTCTAAGCAAAGAGTTCAAATTATTTTTTGTTCCCCGAGCTGTTTTATTTTTCTGAAAACATTTACTGCAATGTGAAAGGTCACCATGCTTCAACAAATGTTTCTGTGTTGCTGCTTTATAGAAGATGTTGAAACACAGATCACATGAAGAGTGCAAAAGATTTTCAGCAACATTATTTTTAGACTAAGCAGATATTGATTTTTCATATATGTTGCAATTGCCTTAAAAAAAACTCTCTCCCAATAATTGGTATTTATTGTTACATGTCTAATGTTTAGTTTTTTCCTTTTTCTCATTAGCA